GTGGTGGTGGTGGCGGTGGTGGTGTGTGTGTGTGTGTGTCTGTGTGTGTGTGTGCGTGTGTGCGTGTGTGTGTGTGTGTGTGTGCGTGTGTGTGTGTGTGTTGTGTGTGTGTGTGTGTGTGTGTGTGCGTGTGTGTGTGTGTGTGTGTGTGTGTGTGTGCGTGCGTGCGTGCGTGCGTGTGCGTGCGTGCGTGCGTGCGTGATGTGGTGTGACGCGGTGTAGCGTGGTGGTGGTGGGTGGGGTAGTGCGGTGGTGGTGGCGGTGCGCGGTGGTGGTGCGCGTGCGTGCGTGCGTGCGTTGGTGGGTGGAAGTGGCGGTGGGTGTGCGTGCGGCGGGGCGGGGCGTGGTGTGGCGCGGTGGTGGCGGGCGGATGGGCGCGCGAGAAAGAGGCCCGCGCTAGGGCGAGAACGCCATCCTGAACGACGGAGGCAAAACACCGATCCGAAAATGAGACCCACGCTGCAGCGCCAGCACGATTCGGAACGATTCGGGAGCAGAAATGAGGCCGGCGCCTCAGCGAGAGCAGCATTTTTAGAGAAAAAAAAAAGACGCAGGCGAAAACCCAACTCCCGGGAATCCTGTGTAAAAAACAATACTCGGGGGGGGTCTACTACTCCCAGCACGCCATCAGGGGAAGAGGGAGAGTAGTATTCATATTGAGTAATTGTGGAGGGGAGGGAGGGAGGGAGGGGAGGGAGGGAGGGAGAGGGGGGGACGGCCCACGCACCCCCCCCCCGCGCGAGGCCCCGCGCGCGAGGCCCCCGCCCGCGCACGCGCGCGCGCCCCCCCGAGTGATCGCACTATTATTCTTAGTAGTTTGCGTATTCACAATTTTCTTCGTGTGATTATTCTCTTAAGTCTTACTGGGTATGGTTCTTGTTATACATGTTAATATGAAGCAGTCTCTCCTCATGCTCCTCCTCCTCCTCCTCCTCCTCGTCCTCCTCCTCCTCTTCCTGGTTTTCCTCCTCCTCCTGCGCTATCCTTCGTTTTCCTCCTCCTTCTCCCCCTCCTCCTCCTCCGCCTCCTCCTCCTCGGGCGAGGGAGACTGGGGCGCGCCCGCCTTGTGGCGCGAGCAATCCGCTCCTCCCCGCCACCGGCTGCTGCCTGGCGGCGCGCCGCGGGAGGCAGTCTGCGGCGTCCCGCGGGTCCTTCTCCTCCTCCTTCGCCTCCCCCTCGTCCTTTCTGTTGAACCGCCTCTGGCTCCTCATCTTGCGCATCGTCCTCCTCCTCCTCCTCGTTATTGTCCTCCTCCGCCTCCTCCTCCTCCTCCTTCTCCTCCTCCTCCTCCTTCTCCTCCTCCTCCTCCTCCTCCTCCTCCCCCTCCTCCTCAACCTTCCAGAATTGTGACACCGTGGGGTGTGTGCCTGACTGGCTGTTCGAATCGAAGGAGAGGTGCTCGTTGATGGGTCCTCGTGCTTCACCCAGCATGGTAAGTAGATTGCACCGAGCTGGATGGGTGGTCATTAGTACCGGCGACGATGGCACGTTCATGTGCGGCATGTACGGTGATGAGCCCCTAGCATGGTCTCTTTCGCAGTCTTCCAGGGACGCGGAAGACTATGCGTTCTGTATGCTGGTTGACGGAGCGCTCAGTCTTTTCTGATTGTGCTGGTTCGATCACGCGTGCCAGCTCAATGAAATCCAATCGCAATGTTTGGGAGCGCTGGTGGCAGAAGTATGGCGGTAGTGCGACTTTGAAATAAGTGATAGGGCACGCCAGGGCCTCGAGTGGCAGTGACAGTTTTTTCGACACTTGGTGTAGGTGTGGAAATGATTTGGCTAACCGATGGGCTAAGAAAGGGGCCCAACTCTGGAGAACTAACTCCATCCGAGAGGATCCTCTTCATTGAAGCCTGCGCAGATATGGCGTGCAAGCTTGTCCAGTGGGTAGGCCTGGTTCACGCCTGGCTTGGCGATAACGAAGCCTGAGACACTGAGGGTGTGGCAGGCACCTCGGATGTAGTCTTGGACCTCGACTGTGCCATGGATGATCGTGAAGCTGCATGTCTGGATGAAGCCCTTCGGACCCGAGAGCAGCTCGGCGGGAGCTCGCAGCTCCTGTCCCGCCGCCGCAGGAACCCGAGCCCGAGCCGTCTGAATAAAGGGGGGTCGATCTGGGGGTTGTTTCTGAGAGGCCGTGGATTTTCCAAGGGCACACGATGGTCAAATGTGATGCAGAAGGTCCTGATCACCCGTGTTTTTTGGGTTGTAAATCCTGTGGGGCCTCGGTGGCCCAAAGGGTCACCCCTGATAAAAGGTCTCGCGGGGCCTTGCTTGGGTCCGAGGCACCCTGGGCTGAAGACCCAACGGTCCCGCCTTCGTAGGTTCCTCCACCCCTTGGCCCTCCACCCTCCTCCTCGGCTGTCTGCGTTCAGAGGCGTAGAGGATGATGATGATGTCGAGTGGCCGCAGGGGAAGCCCGCGGGGCCCAGTGCTGTACCGCATGGGGGCGGTGTTGGGGCTGGGTCGTCCCTGTCTGCTGGGTCCTCGTCGGGGCCTGCTGGCGGGCCCCCGCGCGGTCCCGCGGCCGCGGCTTCCACGGACCACGCCAGCTGCCGCCAGCACGGGGTGTCCGTCCCCGTGCTGGACCTGGCCCAAGTTGCTCGCCTGGGAACAAGGAAAGGCGGCACCAACACCAGCAGGGCGAGGAGGCGCGGGGAGGCAAGGGGAGTCTCCCTGGTGGTGTGGTCCCCCCCTCTCGCTCGAGACATCCCCAGCATCCAGCTCGGGGAGGCATCGTGGACCTCCTCGCTGGAGGTGGGCCCCCTGGTGGTGTTGGTATCGCTTCTCCTCCCTCCGATCGCCTGCGCGGTTTTGCTTCGCCCGATTCTGTGGTTGCGGGGGTTCGGGAGTGCAAGAGGACCAAGCGCGAGGCCAAGGCCGAGGTGCCTTGGCCACAGGAGGGCGAGTAGCCCCCTCTCGCCGCCGCGGCGGGAGGCGGATCTTCCACCCAAGCCCATGCCACCATGCCACCATGCCACCGCCTCCTCCTCCTCCTCGTCCTCCTCCTCCTCCGCCGCCGCCTCCTCGTCCTCCTCCTCCGCCGCCTCCTCATCCGTCTCTTTCTCCTGCGCCTCCTCCTTTTCGTCCCTATTCTCCTCCTCCTCCTCCTCCTCCTTCTCCTCCTCCTCTTACCTCTTACCCAACTTACGGGCCGAATCCGCATTGCACGGCCCCTCTTCAAATCAGCTCAGGAACTTCAAGGACAGGCCTAAATTCTCGATCGGCCCCACAGCTCCACGCGAGACCACGGATCCAGTAGCGCATGACACCGCACACCGCCTGGTACCCAAGCGCCCCTCCGCAAACTTTCGCCCATAAGAACAGACGAGCCCAGTCCAACCCGTGTGAACGGGCGAAAAATCAAGCCTGCTGGCTCCCTGACCGTCACACTTCAGGGCGCACGCAAGCCTCACAAAAGAAACTACTGACATCACAATCGGATCCCATGCAAAGGACGTGCCAGCCCCAAACCCGGTGTCGCGCCACTACCGATCGCACTGGACAGGCCGCTCGCCCCACGCATCTCTGGCCAGCTCATGCCCCTCTGAGCAACTCCTGCAGGCACTGCGCACAGAACTCTCCTGTGAGGACGCCGTGGCCTTGCTCTCGGAGTCCCCCGCGAAAGCCTCGGGCCCCGCGCCGGGACTGCGTGTCGACGACGGCTGAAATGAACTGGCGTGCTGCACCTGGCTGAAGAGACTCGGCGCCGCCATGGACGGAGGACGGATCCTCCGCCATCCCGCCCCAAGGGCCATCTGCCGCAGGGGGGTGGGGGCCCCACGGCAGGGTGCTGAGCTGCATCGCCACGAGGAGCTCCTCGAAAGACCCCCGCAGCATTCCTCGGCGCCTGCATTGCCGTCCGAGACGGCCTCCTCCCGAGTTGCCCCGGCACGGGGCGCGAAGAGCGAAGGCCGGGGCCAATGAGCCCCTCGTCCTGGAACCAGCGGCCAGGAGCAACCCACCCTGAAGGATACTCTGGTGCTTCTCAGCTCAGCTCGATCAAGTTCAAGCCTTTCCCGTTTATGGATCCAGTAGGTCTTAAACTGGTGCCGCGGGGTCGGTGACGTCGACGGCGGCGGCCAGCGCCGACCCTCTGGAGGCGGTTGAGCTCCTTTTGGTCAGCAGCCGCGATGGTCGACACCGGGATGTCGAACTCGTGGGCTACCAAACTCAAATTCCTGCGGGCGACGACGACAGTGGGCATGGGCAGGTCGGCGATTCCTGCTACAAGAACAGGTTCAATCAGCCGTAATCGACCAGCCAACTCGTCGCCTCCAATCGGGGCCTGCTTGAGCGACTGCAACTCCACTCGCAACTGTGCCGCTTCCGCCTGTGCTGCCGCTAGCTGGCGCTGCAGTCAACGGATCGCCCTGTCCGCTGAAGCCGCTGCAGCAGCCCGGGCAGCTAGCCTCGCCGCGGACCGGCAAGAAACACGCTCTTGGCTGCCGCGCTCGGCCACCTCCTGTATCGCCATCCTCAACATCTCCAGACGCCGTATGCCGCGAGGGGAACTGGCAACCAAGAGATTTGAGACTAGCTTGAGCCAAAATGGCTACGGTCTCCTCCTCCTCCTCCTCCTCCTCCTCCTCCTCCTCCTCCTCCTTTCCACTTCTCCGTCATCCTCGTCTTCACCAACCCCATCCCTCGACACTATCCGCCCTCTCCTCATCATCCCCCTGTCCCTCCCGCTGCCTCCCACTCGCCCCCCACCTCGATGTCCCACTCCTCCTCCTCCTCCTGCTTCTCCTCCACGTCCTCCTACTCCTCCTCGTCCATCTCCTCCTCCTCCCTCCTCCTCCTCCTCCTGCTCCTCCTCCTACTCCTCGTCCATCTCCTCCTCCTCCTCCCTCCTCCTCCTCCTCCTCCTCCTCCTCCTCCTCCTCCTCTACTCCTGCTCCTCGTCCGCCTCCTCATCCTCCTTCTCCTCCTTCTTCGCCTCTTCTCCTCCTCCTCCTCCTCCTCCTCCTCCTCCTTCTCCTCCTCCTCCTCCTCCTATCGTCTGCCTTCCTCCCCCCTTTCCTTCCTTCTTCCCGTTCTCCTCCTCCCCTCCTCCTCCTTCTCCTCCTCCTCCACTTCCTCCTCCTCCTCCTCCTCCTCCTCCTCCTCCTCCTCCTCCTCCTCCTCCTGATTCTCATCAGCTTTATCTCTCGCTCTCTCGCTCTCTCTTTCTCGCTCTTTCTCTCCTCTTCTCTGTCGTCAGTTGCACCGCAGAGAGAAAAAGGGGGAACGCAAACTAAAGGCCCCTAGCAGTTATGTCTGGTAAGCTGCTTCGCTGGACCGTGACTGGAACACATAACACAACTCCACATTAAATGCCGACATGCGTCTTGCAATCCGCCAGCGCGGGCGGGATGCCTCCAGCCCGGCGAATGAGAACGAAGGCGAAACGCAATCCACTGCGTAGGGGTCCTACGAGTACAGTCGAAACGCTGCCACAAAGAACCCTACATTAGGAACGAGGCCTTTTTTCCCCAGAAGTTCAACTTCGATATCCCATAGAAGACCTAAGAAGAACCGGAAACAAAACTGCAGAACAATTAAAGAAAAATGAGCCCCTCCCCAAAGCAAAGGGCTCCTGCAGCGGCCCGACTGCATGTCCGGAAGAACCATAAAGCTCAAGCGCTACGGCCAGAGCAACGGATGAGGGTGGGAAAGGCCACTGCCTCCTCAACATGCGTGGCCGATTCCCGAAACCCTGAGCCCAAAAACGTGTTCATCCCTTGGGGGCGCATCTTCTACTTCCGCCGCCTTCCGCCGGCCTTCCGCCGGCTTCCGCCAGCGGAGGCAGCCTCGTTTGACTTCCGCCGCCCTTCCGCCGAGAAAGAGATGGCAGCTCCCTCGACTCTCGAAGGCGAGGGCCGTTTTCTGGAACGCCCCACGCACGAGCATTCCCCTGCCAGGCTCTGCCTGCACCCCTGAGCTGAGCAGGACATCCTTGGCCCCTGCTGCCGGCCAGGCGCAACGGCAGTGGCGCAGGCCGTGGCCCCGTCGCGCGAAGTGGGGAGGCAAGCGGAAGGAGAGGAGGAGAAGGAAGGAAGAATAAATCGGGCCGCCCCCCCCCCTATTGACTAGTCAACAAAGAACCCCGAACCCTTGGGGAGGGGACCAAAGGGTTAGGAGGGCCTAAAACATTAGGGACAGGGGGTCTTTTCTGCAGATGTGTCGGACCAATTCGCCCAGAATTCGTATTCCTGGTGCGAAGACGGGGGCCTCAGTGAGGCCACGTCTTCATCGTGTTATCAGGGTTAGGGAGGGAGTTCTCTTGTTCTCGGAGAAGGAAGGAAGAAACAATAGGGCCCCCCCCCCTCTGCGGTGGAGGAGCCACGGTGCACCTCCTTGGCATCACCGCTGTTCCGTACTCTCGCCCTTGCGGGCCTCTCCACTTGTCCGCCCACAATCGAGGAGGAACAGGCCAGGCATTCATCCACGCGTATCTTCAACGACCACCGATATGTGTTGAATCTGTCTGGCGGCGTTCGGGTCACAGCTCGGGTCTCCAGCGGTCGTTCGGGACGATCTGGGCACCCCAGAACGCCGTCGGCGTTGAGCGCAGCTGCCGAAGAGCATCCCAAGGCTGGACGACCGCCGAGAACCGATCAAACCGTCCGAAAACCTCGAACGGTCCGAAACCGTTCCCCAGGACTGGACTTTCATCCTGAGTCGTCTTGTGAGGGTCCCAAGGCCTGGGGAGAGCCCCTGGAGGCCGGAAACTGCGAAACACCTACCGCCGTATGTTGGTTCAAGGCCCGAGGGGATCTGGGCTCGAAGACCTGAAGCCTGATACAAGTGGCGACATCCCAACCCTGCCCCCACCAACCATTGATGGGAGGCGGGGGAGGGTTTTGACTTCGCCATGTGCTCGACGAATTCCGAACCCTACCCCCGCCGCACATCGAGCTGCCCGACTCCTTGATCGGCGAGGGTAGGGCTCGGACTTCCAAGCCGATCGGAGCTCATGTTTTTGAAGGGGCCCTGGGACACACGAATAAATAAACACAAATAACAGGATTCCCCATATTTGCCAATATTTTCTAGGTTTTTGTCTTCCCCCCCACTTCCCATATTTTCCCATATTTTCTTGGAAATCGACGATTCATTGTCTTTGTGAGTTTTTGTTCCCTCCTGAGTCTTGGACCTGCGCGGAAAACAACACAAACACGTGCGTGTCCGCGGCCTCGCGGGCTGGCCCCATGGGCGCCACCCCCCGCGGAGACGGGGCGCTCTGCCTCGGCTGCACCGCGCGGAGCGCAGCCGTGCCGCCGCGTGTCCGCGAGGGCGCGCCGCGGAAGCCGCGCCGCGAGGGCGCGGACACGGACGCGCCCGCCGCTCGAGGTGGACCCCTCTCCGAGGTCGCCGCCGAGAGGCCCGCCGCGCGGGCGGCCCCCCCGCGCGCGCGCGGGGGCCGCTCCCCCCTGCGGGGGCCCGCCGGCGGACGGCGCTGCCCGGTGGACGCCGCAGAGCCCGCAGGCTGCGGCGAGGCAGTCTGGTGTGTGCCTCGGCACGGGCGGGGCGGGGCGGGGGAGGGGTGGGGGGAGGGAGGCAGCCCATGGAGGTGTCGGGAGCGCCCCTTCGGGAGCGGCAAAAGAGGGGGGTGTCCAAGAGGGGTGTGTGCAAATCATGACCGGCGGCATGTGCGCGGCCCAGCGGGGGGGCCAGGGACGTAGTGAAATAAGAAGAGGCGCCATGAAATCTGCGGAAATACCATGGCCCACGCCATGATATCCACCCCCCCCCCTAGTCAACACCCCCCTTCTTTTCCGCCCCCGACCGCTGTGCCTTCGCCCATGCGCCGGGCTGCGGAAGAGATGGTCTCGTCGTCGAGCGTCGGTGCAGCACTTGCGCTGTCCGCCTCGCGTTCTCGCAGCCGACACCCCATGCCACGGCGCCCAGTTGAGCGCCCTCCCCCTCCACCGGTTGTCTGCACGAGCGGAGGACTCGTCGCTCAGGGCGGGCGGGGCGGGGAGGGGGGAGGAACGAGTGAGTGAGGCCAGTCGCGATGCGAGTCGAGCTGACGAAGCTACGAGCGCTTGCCAGCGAACTCTTCGGCCTTGCGGAGACTCTTCGGCCATCGACCGGAATGACTCCGATCTGAACACTCGCTTCGGTTCGCAAGTGCATCCGTGAGGCACTTCTGCCTCAGATTCTGAATCCGATGACTACCGTATAAACAACAACTAGCAAAGAATCTGCACTTCGGCTGTTTGTTCAGACGCATTCAGAACAGATCATGGACCCAATCCCCCGCTACATGCAACCTGCTTTGAGGGGGAAGGGCAAGGAACCTCCCGTCAACATCAGCAGTTCGAAAGCATGGAATCTGCATCCATTCACTCTGCGTCGCAAGAGTGGCAGAGCTGAAACACTGGGTGCACCGTCTGCCTGACTCGTCAACTGCGTGACTAGATGCGAACAACCTCAGAGCTGCAGGTAGAGGAGGAGAAGGAGGAGGGATTACATGTTTTACTAAACGCACTTTTACATTGCTAGTGCTCCCCATCTTGTGCCGTCCCTCTCCCTCTTGTCCTCGTCCTCGTCCTTGTCCTCCTCGGCTTCGCCGCCGCTCAAGCTTCGGCTCGAGGATTTCCAGCGAGATCTACGAGCCTGCAGGATTTGTGGCACCGCAGAGCGAGAGGACAGCCCCTCTCGCAGGCCTGGACAATCGCCACGAAGTGGTGGTGGTACGGCGTGGCCGCGCTCCTCGGGTGGAACGCGGGTGACATCGCAGACGAGGGCCGTCCGCTGTGGGCGGCAGCCGAAGAGTTCGACCCACCCGAGGGGCAGGACTACGAGTCGGCAGGTGACATTCTCGCACACGGCAGCAAGGCATCCGTCCTCATGGCGCCGTGGAGCAGGTGGAATCGGGTCTACTACAAGACGGGCTCCTCGCAGGGCGTGGTGATGCTGTTGGTGTCACGGATCGGCAAGTCCAACAGCACGACGTGGACAGCGTGTGACCCCACCTTGAGGGTCCAAGTCATCAACGTGCGCGACAAGGAGAGAGTCTTTACCAAGCCTGTGAAGGATCTGACATGGACAGAGCACCCGGGGCTCAGCGCCGCGAGCAGGGACCGAGTGCTCGCGGCCTCCGAGAGGCTCATAGCCAGACGCGAGCTGGAGGCCGAGGACGCGAAGACCGCCATCCCCGCCAAGGGGAAGCAGCAGAAGAAGCGCAAGCCGAGCAAGAAGAGTGACCTGTTCAGTTGGATTCAGGGCGGGGTGATGAACGCCGTGAGTTGCCTCTGGTTACGACGGTCGGCGGGTGGCTCCCTGGCAGTGTGTTTCCTGGGATGGTGGGCCTGGAGGGTGCTGGGGCTTGTTTCTGTCCTCCAGACCGTCTACGAATCCGTGTTGGCCGCGGGTGACGTTGCTGAGGGAGCTCATGAATGGTATGAGAAGGCCGAGGAGATGTACGAATCGGGAGAGCTCGAGCAGGTCGGGATGGCGGTCGGAGTCGGCATCGCGGCACTCTACCTAGGGTACTTGGTGATCAGCAGCGGGGCAGGCCTGGGGCGACTGTGGAAGGTGTGCGAGAGCGACAGCGAGAGCGAGGCCTCCGACTCAGAGGTCATGGTGGGAACGACGGTGGCGGACTCGGACGACGAGCCCGACTCACGGCACTTGTTCGCGGAGCTGGCAAGAGGGCAGAACACGCTACAGGCTTCTGTCGCCGCGCTGGCCGACCTACTGGGCCAGAGGGGCAAGGGTGAAGGTGTGCCAGCGTCGGGGGGTCCTCGGAAGCGCCTCAGCTTCGACAGTGACGGAGACGAGAGTGAGGCCCAGGGGAAGCCCTCCGACGCGCAGGTGGACGACTTCCTACGGAAGCTTCAGGAGCATGAGGAGACGGTGAAGGTGGACTCAGCGGCGGGTACGAAGGGTTCTCCAGGTCCGACTACGCCGACGTCGGGGTCTCCTACGAGCTGGGAGAAGGTGTCTTCGCCAGGCGCGTCCAGTGTCAAAGAAGCCGTGGCGCAACTGGAAATCAAGGCGCGTAACCCCAAGGACGGGCTGTTGGCTACGTTGAAGTCCTACCGTGATGTGGGAGGTGCTCGAGTCGGAGGGGTTCGTGCCAGGGTGGCCCCTACCGTCCTGGCCCGTTTGTATAAGAGCGGGAGAGGGGCGAGGGCCGAGCTGGAGGACTGGCTGCGGTCCAAGGAGCTCACGAAGTGCCCCGTAGCCTCGGAGATCTTCATGCTGGCGGCCGTCCTGGACAAGATGATGATGATGTGCGGGGAGTTTGACACTTTGATCAACTCCCAGGCCGCCGAGCTGACATGCCTGCGCATCTACTCGATCTCCAAGCCTACGAGAACGTGGAGGTGGAGTCGGACTGGAGGCGCCCCAAGTCGGCCAACGGTTCGAAGTGGAAGAGCAAGGCCAACTGGGGCTACGCTGAGGAGTATCTTGATCTGGCCAAGTCGAATACGCCCGACGTGGCTGCTGATGAGGAGGTTGCAGAACGTTTGAAGAAGAAGGCCGCCATCAACAAGCACCTCTCTCTCGGTGGGGGTGCGTCGGGCCACTCGCGCGCGGACGAATCGGTTGCGGCAGGGAGGGTAGCGGCACCTCCTTGCCAAGCCGGCGCCAAGGGCGTAAGCCCGCGTAGCTTCCTCTTCCGTGGGGTCAGTGAAGGTTGGTCGACTACGAGTGGGAAGGACTTCGTTGGTAGGCGCTCGGGCTTGGTGTTATTCAGCATCCTCTCTCTGGCCCTGCGAGGGCACCTGTACTTCAGGGAGGGGACGTACGAGCAGCCGAGTATCTCTCATCGGGAACATGGTGTCCAGGTGTCCTCTGCTTCCTGGGGCAGGAGAAGATGGGCGTCAGCGGGATCCTCTTCGCGACCTTCCCTTCCCACCGTTTGGGGCGGTGGGGCCCCTGGGCACGAAGCTGTCCGAGGGGGGGCCGAGGGTGACGTGGAGGAGGCGTTCACGAGCTATCGCGTCGATTCGGTGCTTGGCTTGTGGGCATGCCCGTGTGGTGGAGGAGTTGCGTGCACGCCCTTGCAAGAGGACGTGGACGTCGGCTACGCTACTGCAGAGGACGCTGATCAACAGACTCTGGGAGCTGCTGGCGGAGCGCGCCAGCTGGGGAGGCATCAACGATGGCAGGGCGGTTCTCAGCCGTCTTGGGAAGGGGCAGTTGATGGGCTATGGGAGGTCGGAGAGGACGACGACGAGGACAGGCGTCATGAAGAAGGGGGACATGTGCGACCTGATCGCGGAGCAGGTCTCGGTGCCGAAGGTCGGGACGAAGGGCCTCGACGTTGTGCGGCTTTCGCCTACGGCGCGGCCCTACCTGGAGAACGTGGAGGGGCTCATGCTGAGGGACGACGACGAGGTGGATTGGATGAGGTACCAGCAGACCAAGAGCTACAGCGACCCTGGGTGGAGGATCAGGTCGAATCGGCTGGCCCTGACGCTCAGGATGTGGGAGGCTGGTATGCTGAGTTACGTCGACAAGGTGAAGGAGCACGTGGGGGTCTTTACGGTGGTGAAGTCCTTGGAGGAGGGCAGCATGACGGACATCAAGTCCTCCAGGCTGGTGTGGGACTGTCGGCGTCTGAATCCGAGGATCAGGGGACCACCGTGGACGGGACTGGGATCACCGAGTGCTCTGAGTTCTCTGGATCTGTCGCCCGAGGTGTTGGGGGAGAGGGAGTTGTTCTCGCTCGCGGGGGACATCCCAGACTGGTTCTACCGTTTAAGGTGGACGAGGTCGCTGGCTCAGTATTGTGTGCTGGAAGACGTGTCACCGAGCGAGCTGTGGGAGCATGCGAAGGGACAAGGGAAGGACATACCCAGGCCAGGCGAAGGAGATCGGGGGGTGGGGGCTATCGCCCCCGTGATGGGGCATTCGTGGGCCGTCTTCCTGGCTCATTCGTGCCTCACCGATTCGATCAAGGAGGTGAAAGGGTACGACCTGGGGGAGCTGGCCTATGGGAGGCCGACCCCATCCTTCGAGACGTGTCAGCTGATTCTGATGCTGTACATCGGCGATTACATCGGCTTCAGGCTCCTCGACCCGCTCGAGGGCGATATCGAGGTGGACAAAGAGGTGGTGAAGAAGGTGTTGGTGGACAAGGGGCTCGACGTGCACAAGGAAGAGTGGGGCCCTGGGCTGCAGCGCGGCCTCGGGATCACGGTGAGAGGGCGGCCGTGCCAGGTGACGATCCATCCCGGCAAACTGAGGGAGCTGGTACTGGCAACGGAGGCCTTGGCGGTGAAGCCCTACGTCTCTCCTGCGAGGCTCTCGTCTTTGCTGGGCATGTGGACCTGGGCCCTTATGATTTGCCGCTCGGGGTTTGCCATTCTGGACGCGATCTACAGGTGGATCAACGAGCACGGCGACTCTTGGGAGGAGGTGCTGCCCCTCACGACGGATGTGGTCTCGGAGCTCGTGGCGTTGGCCAGCCTCTCGGTGTACTTGACGTCGGGCTTGGAGGCGGACTGGGCCACGAGGGCTTACATGACGGACGCCTCGGAGTTCGGGTACGGGGC